CTGACACATGCATATGTTTTTTTCTAAAATCACAGAAAATGAAAATGAGACAACTCCATCTCCATTTCAAAGACTTATTAACCATAACTAAGCCTTCTGCATTAGGAGCAATCTCACTGAAATCTGAACAACTCATTCATTTCCGTCAGTGATTTCCCGCTTCTTTTTTTTTTTTTTTGACAATTAGCTGTCCTAGTTTTAAAACAAAACTGTTTTCAGTTACATAGGTGCAAAGGGGCACAGGCTAATTTTCAGTGCTAATTTAACTAAGGCCCAAAAGAATCAGAGTTCTAGCAAACATACTGTATCGGAAATATTCATCTCGGCTACGTCTACACTGGCCCCTTCTTCGGAAGGGGCATGCTAATTTTGAACTTGGGAATAGGGAAATCCGTGGGGGATTTAAATATCTCCCGCGGGATTTAAATAAACATGGCCATCCTCCGGAATAAAGCCCTTTTCCGGAGGATCTCTTATTCCTACCTGAAAGTATAAGAATAAGAATAAGAGATCCTCCGGAAAAGGGCTTTATTCCGGAGGATCGCGCCAGTCTAGACGCTTTTTTCCGGCTTTTCCTCAAGCCGGAAAAAAAGCGGCGGACATGTTTATTTAAATCCCGCGGGGGATATTTAAATCCCCCGTGGATTTCCCTATTCCGACTTACCTGCTTTGCATCCCTTTTCCGGAAGTTGGGGCCAGTGTAGATATAGCCCTCTAGTTTAATTCTACTGGTTCCCCAAAGACACAACAAGAATAAATCTCTTATCTTTTAAGTAGAATTGGTTAAAAATTACAATAGTTTGAGTGAAATGCCTCCAACATTTTAGTGGTGGGGGAGAATACATAAAATTCAAAGATGGAGCTTCACTTTACTGTGGACCATTTTAAACGCGCAGCATTATGCTAATACAGTCTTTTCATATGATGAAGGCTTAATCCTGCAAATACTAACCTGAAGGCTTGCTACCAGAATAGTCCCACTTGGTTTAACTGCACTATAATTTTTTGTCATTTCATAGGACTATAATCATTGTAGTAAATACTACATCTGGAAATTAGTGTTTGTAGTAGCAGACCCTTAGGTAGTTAGACACTTAAAATCAAATACAAAAAATATATAAAGTAGCTTTTTAGCTTATCAGCTTGAATAGAGGAACAGAGTCACCAGGAATTAATTTCCAGTGTACAGAAGAAACCATATGCATGCTTTTTTTATAAAGAGATGCGAGACTTTTTTTTGCATCAACATGCAGCTCCATTCATATTTAGCATTAGTTTTGACTCCATTATTCTGTAACTGAAACAGAGTAACAACAGTATGAGATATGCTAGCCACCTTAGATCAGCAGTAGGAAATGTTTCAGCCCAGACCTTTCACTTTGTGCTACATTTAAAACTTCCAGAGATTTATGTTAACAGATGAATTAGAAAATGTCAGTCCTTAAACCCTTCCTCTGGCAGTTTACAATGAAGATATGGGTGTGTTGCTTGACATGCTGGCATAATCCAGTATACTGAGGCATAAATATCTAACTGATGTTAAGGTAAGTTTTATATATATAAAATAACTGAAAACTGGACAGCTGGCAACCCTATGCTGTGTCAAAAAGGGCCAATAAAAGGAGGAAGCGAAATTTTGCATTGATGGTGGAAACTCAACATTTGGATGTTAATAATGGAACTTTTGAATTCTGAATATTCAGGTGTTTATACCAGAAGCTTAGAGGGATTGCTTTTCTTTCTAACTCTGCAAAATTAATCTGTAAATTTTATAAGAACAGATTATCAGCCATCCAGTTTCTAGATTATCAACCATCCCTGTCACAGCCAAATTCTGGAGGTGATAAATGCTTATCCAAATATTTGAGATTCTTCCAAACAGTTAATTTGAGTTTGGTTAAAGAAAGAGGTGAAATTACAGCTCAAGAAGGGTTATATTTTATTAACTGATTCTTCTAATCCCCAGAACAGCCTCACCTGTAGCTTCTCTGCTCTTTCCTCAGACTCCTAGCGGAGAAGAAGATTCTGAGACTCCCTGTCTGCCTACCTGACCAATTACTTACTCCACTCACTCCTCTTTGCTCTTCCACAGGCTCCTGATCTATAAAGCTACTGTTGAGAGGGAGAGCTGTAAAGAATGGGCATCAAATGAAGAGTTAGTTGATATTGCCATGTGGGGAATAGAAGAGGAGAGATAGAAAAGAGGGGACAGAAGTTATAATGCTGTGTTTCTCAATCTTCTTTTTATAAAGTACCCCTTTAAAAAATTATAAGTACCCCCAGTACCTACACTTTTCAGACACACAATTTTTTTTTCTACCATTGCAACACATTTGTTTAAATAACTTAATCATAGCCAGGTGGGCGATGAGATTTTTGGGTGTAAAAAGTACAAAAATAATAAAGCACTGTAAAACTTAAAACAAAAATTCAGTTTTCTCCAAATTTCAGTTGTGTTGACATAGCCCTCAGACTTCTCTCGAGTACCCCTAAGGGTACTTGAGAAACACTGCTATAATGAATGACAGAAAGCTAAGTGGAGCTCATGAGAAGAAGGAACAGACAACTTGAAGTGTGACACACATACACACTTAGGAAGAGCTCTCTGAGAAGAGGGATGGGGAACAGAGATATCTTTGACCCTCCTAAGTAAAGTGTGAATATGCTTCCCTAGTCACCTCAGTAGGAAAACAGATTTTTCATCACCCTCCTGAAGTAAAACAAAATTTCATTTCCTGTGATTTTGCAACAATGGATGCTAATTTTATATAATTATATATAAAGTTCATGAAAATTTCCCCTTAGGCTTTTCCATGGCCCACTACAAGCCAGTCTTTCCTCCTTTTTATTTAGCTAATTGGGGACTTTCATTTACTGAACTATATAAAAGGAGTTTGGGTATTAATCCAAATTAATTCTGAATTGATTCCACTGTACAATTAAATTTCATTTTATGTATGAGTGAGGACCTCACAGTAGTTAGAAATTTTCATCTGAATTGCCAATCCAAAAGCCTAACTACAAACCAATGCTTACAACAGAGAAACGCCCTGATTCCAGGCTCTCCTGAGTTATTTCAATTAGTTACCATAGTACAATCCCTCAGTGAATATGTCTGATCTTCAAGGTGTTGCATTTGCAAGAGAATGATAAAGTCAAGAGGAGGTATATCTGCTTTCCAGATTAAAGAAATTAATTAGACTGCATACATTTTTTAGTACTTAAAAAACCAAGAAGTGGGTGTTAGTTCTGTGTCATGCTATGAAACGTCAACACTGTGACCCCTTTTAATTATTTTCTTGATTCACAGAACTCCCAGATCTGCAAGAATTCCTGTATTTCATAGGCACAATGAAAAAGTCAAAAGATGACACTACAGCTTTCTGTTTATAAAGAAAAAGAACTAATGAGATTCAGGAGTTCTTTGAAAAATATAACCTCAGAGGAAGAGTGGAATGAAAGTTGCTAAAATAGAGGGATGAACATGACATTTATCTTTTTATCTGTGGATAATAGGTGTATCAATTGCAACTGAAACCGGACTTCAACACTTCTCTTTCCATATTCAGGACCAGTTTTTGAAGAAAGATTGAGATTGTTTGGTTGCCATTTTAGGAAGGAATTGCCTAAGGCCTCTGTATCGGGTGCCAGTGCAGTTTAGTCATCCTTTTTCTTTTAAGGCTAATTGATGCCCTTTTACAAAGGAGAGCTGTTCTGAGGAGAGGTAGGAAGCTCACTGCACAAGCACTAGTCTCACGTGATATTAAGCTAGGGGTGGGCAATAATTATTGGTAGGAGCCACTCTAAGATTTTGGAAAGTGGTCAAGGGCCGCACTTTTCTTTGGAGGGGATATGGGGTCTAGGATGGAGGTCGGGTGCAGAAGGGTGCATGGGGTAAGGGACTGGGGTGCAAGAGATGGTGTGAGGTCTGGGAGGGAGTTTGAGTGAAGAAGGGGGTTGTGATCTGGGTCAAGGTATTGGGGTGCAGAGTCAGGAACGGAGTGTGGGTGCAGGAGAAGATTCTGGCCTGGGGGAGGAGAAGAGGAAGAGGTACAGGGTCTGGGAGAGAGTTGTGGCCTGGGGCAGAGGAGATGCAGAGGGCTTGGATGGTGATCTGGGGGAGGGAGTTGGCGTGTGGGAAGGGCAGGGGTGCTGGCTGGGAGGTGCTTCCTTAAGTGTCTCCTGGCCAGCAGCCCTGCAGCACCACCAAGGCAGGCTGGGCTCATCTACACATCTGTTGCAGCCCCTGATCGCTTAGAACTGCAGGCTGGTCCCTCCACGTGGCTCTCAGCTGCAGGAGGGGAAGAGGCTTGCGCTGCCCCCATCCCCCAGGCCAATCTCCCAGCTCCTATTGGCTGGTTGTTCCATAGCATTTTGACTGTAAGTTGGAACTTCCTATGTAAGGGCCCTCAAAATAAGTTCCAACTTGCAGTCAAAATGCTATGGATGAATTCTAAAACCACTGAAGATTTATCTTGAACTTAATGCTGGAAATGCTGAGGAACCAAAGCTAGAATAAGTATTCATTGGGGACAGCCTGAGGGCAAAATTATTCTATTAGTCTAATACTAATAGACCTATTCCTCCATTGGACCACCTATGTACAGTTAAATATAGATACTAAGCTTTTCAGTTATATTTTGTGTAATTCAAGGGTCTTTATGTTTCTGCATGACAATCCTTTGATTTATTATACCATATTCCTGCCTAATATTTTCTTTAAATATCTGAAACAATGGCAATTTTAACTTTCTGGTTTCTAGTTTGTTGGTTAAAGTAAACTGACTGCTCCACAGTCTAATACTTCACTAATTAAAATGTTAGTTGGTGGAAAAATCAATGTTTGAAATATTATTTTCCCTTAATTTCTGTCTTCAGCAGGCAGGGAGATTTTCTGCTCTAACATTAATTTGTATGGTTAAAAATAGCAAAATTATAAGCTAAGATGTCATTCATTTTACAATCCTTTCTACTGTTTTTCTTTTTCTTTCTTTTAACAGCTTACGTTATAACTGTGGGAGAAGAGGGCAAGAGAGACACGTGGGAGTATGCCATTGGGACTTCTTACCTGGCACAGGTTTAAGTTACTTGCTGACTCAGAGTCCATGCATATGGATGTCTGGTGTTGCAACAGCTTAGCTTTTATATTGCCAAATGAACAATGCAGCCAGTGGTGCAGCTGTGTATGTCTACTCTGTAATCGCAGTACGTGCTTGCAGTTTGTGCCTACAGACCCAAGTTAGCTTTAATCTAGCAGTGGATACTGCAGCAGGGAAGCTGTGGCAGCATTGACTTCAGCAGAAGCAGTACAAACCTGCCTGGAACCCCAGGTAACCACTGGAGCAGCTAGCCCATGGTGAACCCCCCCCTGCTGCTGTGGTTTTGCTGCTCTGGTGCTTGAGATATCTAGATTAAAGCTAGAGAGATTAAAGATTTCAGCTCATTAAGAACCACATCCAGTGTGCCTCAGGTCACCTGGTGGTTCTGTTAGTTTCCCACAGATTCTTGAGATACACTATCAGATTCCAGGTAAAGCATCAAATTATAATTAATGTGAATGTATGTGAGCATGTGTATATATACACATACGTAAAATGGAATGCAAATACAATACATTATTTTTAAACAGAGATTTGAATAAATTGCTGTTTTGGCTGTTGCTGGTTGAAGTCTAAGTGTTTGCTGACTGTTTCAGAGAAAGAGAAATTCACAAAGATACATGGATAGGAAAGTTAAACTGTCTCTTCATTTATTTTACTTTGGTTGTTTGCAATTTTTGTTTTTCTTGCAGAGTTTCCCTAAGACATGTTCCCTCCCTGCCTGGATTGAGAAGAGGGATGTTGTAGAGTTAATATATCAGCTTTGCACCATCCTAGGATTTCTTTTACGCAATGTAAATAACAAGTGTGACAGCTAAGAAGGCTTTCTGGCTGCTTTGTATTGGTTTCATGGCAAAAAGCAGCCAAAGCATAAGTGAGAATTAAGATAATAATGACTGTATTTTAAGGCATAAATATTATAGAGGGGCAGCATGGTCTAGAGGACAGGGCACAAGACTGTGACTCAAGACAACTGAATTCTACTTCCAGTGCCTGCCACTGACACACCATGTGATCCTTGACAAGTCACTTCATGCCACCTTTTGTCTGTCTTATCTATTTATATTGTTGACTTATCAGGACATGACATTCTCATACTTTGTGTATACCATGCCTAGCACCATGCGGCCCATGTCCTGATTGAGGTTTCCAGGGGGTTCTTATTATATCATTAATTAATATGGCAGATTTCAGATGTGTCTACATCAGCTCTGCATATTCTCACTTTTCAGTGTTTAATCCCTCATCACTAATACTGTGCAATAAAAATGTTAGCTTTTTGCACAGAATTATTGACAGGCATAGTGAAAGGGATAGCAAAGATATATTTGACGTAGAAAATAGTTTCAGTTCACCAAGAGCAAGCTCTTCTCCACACTGCAGTGAGCTGCAAAACTCCCATTTACTTCCGTAGTGCTCGATGAAGCACTATGCTGTTTTCAGGGAATAATAACTTCAAAAAAATATGACTGATGTCGGGGCTTCGGGAAGTACTGAAAGCATCAAGGAAAAACTAAGTGTGTGTGACATGATCCCTATAAAAACACAAATATAAGAGGATAAAAAAAAAGGAAAGCAAAGCTTAAAGGATGCCAGGATTAGGACTGTCAAAATTGGTAATGGAAATTATGATAAATTATTCAGAGTAGGGAAGACAATAGGGCCAAAATGTTCAAACTTCGGGAAATAAATTAAGGCAACTGAATAACTGATTTTATTCAAAGGGCCTGAGTACCTGACTTACCTGCTGAAGTCAAATTGTAGGCAACAAGCTTTGTAAAATTTGGCCCTCAGGGACCTTTTATTCAGAGGTGCCGAACACCCAACATTCCAGTTGGAATCAATGATACCCATAGGTTTTGATTACATCTGAAACCCAGGCTTAATTCCTGTCAGGAACATGGTGACTTAAACTTTATTCCACTCTGTCTTATGTATCTTTCCTCATTTCTTATGAGAAATCATCTGCCACAAATAGAAAATATCCAGAAGAGACCAGTAGAAAGCTAAACATTTTAATAAATTACATCCGTATTACATTGTATTTATTACACACACATAACTTTATGTTAAAAGAATATCATTAATAGTATAAAGTCAAACGTTTGGAAGCTAAAAATTTCCAGAATTAAGGTTGCCCATACAATCTTATTTTGCCCCCCTTGTGCATATGCATTATGATCTCATCTTTAAATATACACTATTTTTCCATGGACCCTGCTATCTCATTCAGTGCACAGACGGGACAGAATAGGTGAGAAAAACAGAAGAGAGGAGGAGAAATCCTGCCCAAATTAAGTCAATTTCAAAGAGGAAGGGTTCATTCTACTTTCCAGGATTTTACCCCAAAATGTTACTAATGGCTCGTGTACTGCAGCAGATTTCAGGCATGGGATTCTTTTAAGTGCCGGTGTTTCACTTCCAGGTTGGCACTTCAGGAGTGGCATACCAGGATGATGGAGTACGCTTTGCCCCATCTGGTATGCTGGGCAGCACTGAGGCAGGTAAAAGATGAAATCAGAATGGAGGACTGGTAAAAACAAATCCATTTTGTAAAGAGTGAATCTTGTCTGACAAAGCTGTTGGTATTTTTTGAAAAAGGAGATAATGCAGTGAGCAGACAGGGTGAAATCAAGGACATAATCTGTTTGGATTATGAAGATTAAAAGGCATTTGACATAGTTCCGCATACTGCATAAGTTCAGAAGCACAGGACAGAAAGCACTGCCCTTGAGTGGATGCAAAGCTGGGTTAGGTGACCAAAGACAGACTGCACGGATTGAAAGTTATGAGTTAATAAAACAAAGAAAGTCAAGGGCTAGGATATTGCAGGAATTAGTATTGAGGGTCACTCTTTTTACTGAACACTTAGTTTACAGGAAGTTGTTTTATGAGTTTCATGCAGTTTAGCAAGTAGAATGTTATAGGATAAGAAAAAAGAGTTTGAAATTTAAAAAAAACAATACAAATTATACAAATACACAACGGCTACATCTACACTGGCATCCCTTCCGGAAAAGGGATGCTAATGTATCAGTTTGGAATAGGCAAATCCGCGGGGGATTTAAATATCCCCCGCGGTATTTGCATTAACATGGCTGACGCTTTTTTCCGGCTTGGAGATAAGCTGGAGAAAAGCTCCAGTCTAGACGTGATTCTCCGGAAAATAAAGCCTTTCAAGTAGGAATAAGAGATCATCCAGAAAAGGCTTTATTTTCCGGAGAATCACGTCTAGACTGGCGCTTTTCTCCGGCTTATCTCCAAGCCGGAAAAAAGCGGCAGCCATGTTAATGCAAATACCGTGGGGGATATTTAAATCCCCCGCAGATTTGCCTATTCCAATGTGCTACATTAGCATCCCTTTTCCGGAAGGGATGCCAGTGTAGACACAGCCAACATGTTTACAGTACGTAGAATAGGGAAAACACCTGGAAATGACAGAAGAATAATGGAATAAAATAATGAAAAAGAAAATGTAGAAGGGATATCAGGACAAATATCCTGGTGATAAAGTATATTAGTCTGTAGAACAGCCTTCCAATGGGAATGCTTAAAAGCCCTATTATTTGATTGGACTTGTAGAAAGTTCACTACAGAGACTATTCCAGCACTGGGCCCCAGGAGATGAACAAGATGACTTTATCAAGCTCTGGGACAAGAACCATATATTTGTTCAGTGTTTGTATTGTGTCTAGTATCAGAAGGGTAGCCGTGTTAGTCTGAATCTGCAAAAGCGGTGAGGAGTCCTGTGGCACCTTATAGACTAACAGAAGTGTTGGAGCATAAGCTTTCATGGGCAAAGACCCACTTCGTCAGATGCATGTAGTGGAAATTTTCAGAGGCAGGTATAAATATGCAGGCCAGAATCAGGCTAGAGATAACGAGGTGAATCCAATCAAGGAGGATGAGGCCCACTTCTAGTAGCTGATCTGGAGGTGTGAATACCAAGAGAGGATTCACTACCTAATTGGATTCACCTCATTATCTCTAGCCTGATTCTGGCCTGCATATTTATACCTGCCTCTGAAAATTTCCACTACATGCATCTGATGAAGTGGGTCTTTGCCCATGAAATCTTATGCTCCATCACTTCTGTTAGTCTATAAGGTGCCACAGGACTCTTCGCCGCTTTTGTATTGTGTCTGACACTAATGAGGTTGTGGTCCATGACTGGGGCTCATAGGTGCTACTGCAATACAAATAAATAATAATAGGATCTTTTCTATTTTTAATTTCTCTGGCCCACATCTTGATGTCTTTGTCCATTTCTTACTTAAGCAAAATTTGTATTGCAGCTAATGTGCCTAAGGTAGTTAAATAAGGTTGGCTCAATTTGAGTGAGCAGAGAATGATTTAAGGTCTTCAGGAGTTTCCCTCATTGTTACAGACGCTCAACAATTTCTCAGAAATTGGACCCGTTGGAGTTTTGCTGTGTGTAAGGGGTAAGGTCTAGACCCTTGATGGTACTTGAGCCCCCAACTCCCACTGAAATCAATGGGAATCAGGCATGAAATACCCTGAACAACTGGGCCTATGTAAAACAGAATAAGAACTTTAGGACTTGACTCAAGAATTCTAAACAGTAGCATTAAGCCATCAGAACAAGCTATGGCTGCAGTCCAAAAGACAAAAACTGTGAGGATAGATATATAAACTAAGACAAAGAATGAATTTCTAAAAAAATAACACTGTTTGAGAACTCTGTAAGGAACTTGCACTAAACTACATTTAGAATATGACTAATTTTTTATCATTGTGCACTAGAAATGGCAATTAGGCTATTGAAAAGGACCAAGAAGGATAAAAACAGATTGGTA